GGTAGACGGTTTCCATAGAACGCGCTACGCACTCACCACGTTATAGGAGGGTTGACTGAATTTATTATTTGAAAATAAAGTTTTCAAACGAAGAACGTATCATTTTGGAATTCTCCGGATTTATGAATCAGGTAAGTGTTAGGATTTTTATAATAAAAAATGTACTTGTAAAATTTTTTTTTTTCTAATTTGATTATACAAAGGTTTTCTACGTCCGATTAAAAATAATTATAATAAAAAAAACATGAAAGTTTTTTATTTTAATTTTAGGAATTTTTAGAATCGTTTTTTTTTTTTCGTAAGCGTTCTTTATTTCGCGTTTTTTTAATTTATAAATAATGATTTTTATTGAAACTTACAATTATTTGTTAAAAATTGTTGTCAAAAAACTTTTTTTGCAGAATTAAATTATAGAAAATTATGGGCTTATGTATATTTTTCTCCTATTTTAATGTTTGAAGTAATAGGATTCATAAAACTATGGAATGTAAAGTTTAAATAGGCCTTTCATGTTATATCCTTAATTTTAGTAAACCTATTTCGAAGGCATAACGTCCGATATAGGAAGATGGATATTATTTTTCTGTTTATTGGTAAACATTTTTCCGATGTGTTTTTGATGTTCCTTCTCTTAAAAAAAAAATTTATACCATTTTGTTTTCGATTGCATAAGAAAGAATATCAAACATTTTTCTTTTTTAAATTTACTAAGCCACAATAAAGAAGGAACGTTGCAATGATTAACGCAATATTGTAGACGTCTCCAAACCAACTGAATGACTGTTCATATAGAAATCGCAGTATTCGTCTCATACAACATCGTCCCCTATAGTTCGTTGCGATCGCGAATTAATGGTTTTAGAAACAATTCTTCCTATAAGTATAAAATCAAAATTGGAAATAAGTTTTTTTTCATTAGATGAAATAAGCGCAGGCAATGGCACATTGGAATGTGATGAGCAAAAGTATATTATAGAATACTTGACTCTTTAAAAGGAAAAATAAAGTTTTATTTTTTAAGCAACAAATAATCTATAAAAATTTTTGCATCCATCAAATTTGTATCATAATTTTCTAATTTAACAACAATTTTGTAGAACCGGGATAGCTTGATTGGGAGGACGTTAAGCCCATGTTCAAGAGGCCATTAGTTTAATCCCCGCCGGCCAAAGACTCTCCGAGTACAAAATGGTGACTGGTGCACTCTAAACATGTCAGGGCCACAAAGCCCTCTAAGTTCCCATAACTAATCAAGACTCCTGGGGGTACTGGATCGGAGATAGATCGTGCTCTGGTTCAGGTAAAAATTACGATCTGCGAATGGATGGTGTGTGAATGTGTCTTCCCTGTAAAACGGGCTATGATGTATAAGTGTGGAAAAAGTTTAACCCTAGGCCATAGATGGCTCCACTGAAAAACAAGAAGGAATGTATAAGATAACAACAATGGTTTTGATTTTTTCAGATAGCAATTTTGTCAAATGCAGTTTTGACATACAGAGTCTAAACTTTAGAATGTCGGATAAACAGAAAAATGACATTTCTTAGTTTTTAAAAAATTTTAATATTCCAATAAATGAGGATAATAACTTCCTCGTTTTGATAAAATGATTGCTTAGAGAATTTTCCAGAAAACGATATTGTCAAAAAATATTATGCGAATTTTCTCTATACATATTTAAATCAGCTCACAAAGAAAAAAAAAGATCCAAAAATATTTTGATTCTGCCTGAGAGCTATAAGTATAAAAATAGATTTCTAACACGTAATGTTTTAAAGACGTTATTGGTCTGTTTTACATTTGAAATTAAGAGTCCTGCAAAAAGGGAAATATTTGTAATTGTCACAGTGATGTGTGACGTTTTTTTTTTCTAATTGGTTAATTTAATCCCTTTTAGTTTAATGTTGGTTGTTTGATGTCACAGTGTCGTGGTACGATTTTTTTTATGTCCGGAATTTAACTTAATCTAATTTTAATTCAATCTTTCATTGTTTATAATATTTGCACTTTTCCTTTTTATTTCTCTTCATTTTTTTTTCTATGAAGAGAATTGGAAATGTCTCTTTTTACTCTTAAGTTAGCAACACATTTTTGTGTTTTTCTCCTTTTCACCTTTTACAATTCACCACTGTCCTTCAAGGACGAATTCTTTTCCCTCACATTCTATTTACGTCACCACTTAAATTCTTTTCCCATCACTTTCATGTAACCTTCAAATTTTTGCACGTAGTGATTCTTCCGGTTGGTTTTTCTAGAATTTTTAGCGTGTTCACGCCTTTTTGTATGTATCGGAGTACTTTTGGCACTGATTGGTGGTGACCTAATCGTGTAGTAATCCCCCATCCAATGACAGTCGTTTTCTATCCTGCCTGACAACTCGTACTTTCCCGCGCTGAAGGGACGCTGTCATCACTTCTCTTGGGTCACCGCTCGGCAACAGTTTGACAATTTTTTTTTCTTGTCTTGCCAGCGTCATCGCAGGTGCCATCTTGGTTAGATGGACACCAATTTTTTTTACTTGGCCTTTCATATAAAGGTTTACTGCTTGTTTTTTGCCGATGATGGTACTTTCATCCTTTTTAAGTCTAAAGACTTCTTCCAATACTCTGAGTTTTTGAGAGTATATATATAAATGTTCGTCTTTCCTATCTCTACAAAAAAAATATGTGGTAGAAGTATCTCAGATATGTCCTTTTAAAAAAAAAATGTCTTCGAGTTAGAACTAAAATCGTTTTTTTTTTGTTCGTAAAGAATATCTTTTAAAGAAGTTGGAACTCTATGTTTTTCCTTTTCGTCTCAGTGGCGATAAGCCGTAGAAAAACTACGGATCTTTAGTGACTGTCGGCATCCACGACTCTACGTCAGAAGTAGAAGCCTTCCCTTTGCTCCCCCCTCCGATCTCCCGATGGTGCTTTCTTTGTGAGACGTGATGGAATTCGAATAAATATATGTGTTTGAAGATGAAAAGTGTCCGAGGACTTTTTTGTGTCTCTTTTCGTATGCCATAGTTATTTGTGTTCTGCTGTCTTCACCCTTGAAGATGTCTCGTAAGGGTGAGTAACTCTCTTTTTCATTCCTTCCTATTGTTTAGTCTGCCTGGGCTATTGTCACGTACACCACATATCTTGTATATTATGTTATTAAGGTTATCCTCAATCTTATTGATCCAGTGGGTTTCCCATGAACAGTGTTTTTTTTAATCAATAATAATTTCACCGCTTGTCAATCATATGTGTTATCTCTTTTATAAAAGAAATTTGATCTGAGTTCATGACCAACGAATCTCAATATTATGTTGGGTGATTGTGGTTTTACACAAACGCTTATGTCACTGATCATTCGGCCTTCAGGGGTTTCCTCTGTTTAATCCTTTTCATGCATGGTATTGACATCCTCTTTTTTTTTATCTAATTAGTATATATATATGATGGATATTATCGAATATATGTATATACATATCTATACTTCCCTGGATCAATAGTTTGAGCAAAAGTGACATACCCTTCCTTCTTTTACTCATGATGTAATAACATTTTACTTAGCCACCCTATTCAGTTAATTTACCTTGCTTCAGGTTTCATCTTATCTTGTAAATTTTTCTTATGTACTTACCATTAAATTTCTCCTGAGCTGGTGTCACAATCAAGGTGCACCAAACAAACTACGGTACAGTAATCTTGATCTGAAATGAAAAATCTGTTTGATGAAAATTGATGGTTTGTGGAAATTTTAAATTCAATCTTTGTTTTTAAGGTCTTGATAAATATTTTAAAGTTTTAAACATGATCTGGAAATGTTCAATATGATTGCACTCATTACAAGGAAATGAAGAGTGTTCATGTACTCCATTCGAAATGTTTGTCAAAATGTATATCTTCTGAGCGCTATAGTACTCGTTCTTGTCCAGAGTGCTGGACAGTATACCACCCCATTAAACTGCATCCATCTTTGGACTTAGAATAATCAGTCATTTCCTAAGGGTGAAATGGAGATAAATTTTTTCAAAATGCAAATTAATGAACTGGGCTTGAATATAGCAAAAAGTGATGCCCTTTTCAAAAGTGATGCCCCCTTTGTTAACTGTAACTGAATCTGTATACTTACCTCAGTTGTGCTTTGATAGTTAGAGGCTGCAGTTATATTTTACTTGTATGAGGAGGATGCAATTAAAGTGAAATGCAATCTTTGTTCCTGCTTTATCTCAAGAGGTGGAACAGGCAAAAAATCATTGCAACTTCTCCACTATTAAATCATCTAAGGAGAAAACATTTAGCAGAATATGCCAAAATTAATTGCTGCAATGAAAAAAGTCAGGATTTAGGTTTTGAATCCAATGACATAATGTAAATGCAGGTGATCCCAGTACAAGTTCTAAAAAAAGAAGATTGGATCATCTAACTTTAGAGGCAGTTCTGGAAAAGAAAAAAATCTGGGATATAAACAATCCAAAAGCTGTAGAATTACATTATGCTATTGGCCAAATGATAGCAGTAGATAAACAGCCATACTTATTTGTGGAAGATGAGGGTTTTCGAAATCTCATGGCAAAAGCACAACCACAGTATAAAGTTTCATCAAGGGAATATTTCAAACAAGTAATTATACCAAAAATGCATTTAAAATGTAAAGAAGAAATTGAGTCATTGCTTTCTTCAGCTACATATATATCTTTAACTACTAATATATGGTTTAATTCAGTAAATAAAGACAGTTTTATTAACTTTACTGCTCATTGGATAGATAATGATTTTAATTACAAACATTTTGTATTAAACTCAAGACACTTTCCCGGAAGTCATACTGGAGAAAATGTAGGCAAGATGTTAAGCAGCTTGAGCGAGGAATGGAATGTGACAAGTAAAATATATCTAGTCATTCGTGATGGTGGTTCAAATATTGTAAAAGCCGTAAATGATCTCAATTTAGAAAGTGAATCTTGTTTTTTACATAATTTGCATTTGATTGTAAGTGATGCATTAAATTCTCAAAGAGCATTAAAGGATATCATTGCTCTAGGAAGAAGAATTGTTGGCCATTTCAACCATTCTTCTTTAGCTTGTTCAAAATTTAAGGAAATACAAGAAAAACAGTTAAATTAGTGCAGGATGTTTCAACAAGATGGAACAGTACATTTTACATGTTGAACCGCTTACAAGAATTACAAAATGCTATATCCATCTGTGCGAATGGAAACAATGAAATTCAGAACTTTTCATCATATCAGTGGATTTTAATTGAAAATTGTATTAAATTGCTTCAACCATTTGAAGAAATAACTCAACAGATAAGTAGTTCAAAATCATTAATTTCTGAAGTTATTCCTATGGTTGTAACTTTACAACGATATTTGTTAAAATCTGTTGAAGTTTCTGGAATTGGAACAATAAAAGAAGCATTAGAAAAAAATATACATAAACGTGTTTCGGCAATACAGTTGAACAAACATTATTCACTGGCAACGATTTTGGACCCACGACATAAAACACTGTTTTTTGATAAAGATCAGAGTTATGATGAAGTTGTGAAACCTTTATTACTCTCATTAATGAAGAAAAAAGCATCTGAAATTTAAAAATCGTCAGAAAATGTGAACAATAGTAAGTCAATCGCAAAATATTCAAGTTCTGAAAATTTTCACTAGTCAACTGAAGGTGAGGAATGTGTATCTATTTCTGTTTGGGATGTTTTCTCAGAAATAACTAACAACAGTAATATAAATAATAAAATTACTGATACTGACAAAAATGAGTTAACTTCAGTGCAGGAGTTGAATAAATATATTTCATTACCAGTTATTGAAAGGAAAGAATCACCACTCAACTGGTGGGAAAAAAATCAAAATAATTTTCCCATATTATCAAAATTAGTCTATAAATATCTATCTCCTCCTGTAAGCAGTGTTTATAGTGAGAGGCTGTTCTCTGAAGCCGGCATCATTTATGAGCAAAGAAGAAACAGAATTTTGCCAAAAAATGCTGAACAATTGCTTTTTTTGCATCTCAATTTATCGATTTTGAAAAATGATAAATTGGCTTAAAAAACTTTTTTTATTAACTTTTTTATTTCAAATCAATGTATATATTGTCATCACAGTATTAACCGTATTAATTAATAAGTACAATCATAATTACATGGATTAATATTATTATTTTAATGCTAGACCAATATAAATTAATTTTAAAAAGCAGTTGCATGCAATGTTTGTATTAATAAAAATGTAAAAAATAATTATAAATTGAATAAATGATATAACATATGATCTCGTATTTTGTTGGTAGTTATAAAACAATTCCTCAGATCGATTATTACTCTATTCTAATATTTGTCTTTAATATAACTGCCAACCATTCAGATCTTTTCTAAATTTTTTAAATCAAATGAAACTAGAAAAAATTTTTAATGAAATTAGTTATTTATTAGTTAATATTTATATGTTTTTATTTGAGAAAATTGCCAGTTTCATTTTATTTTAAAAATCAAATAGGTTGGCTATTATATAATTATAATATAATAAATATGTATATCCGTATAGTAAATATATTCTGTTGTAATTGTATACCATATTTTTATATACTACAAACTATGTTATATTACATAACTTTCAAAATGCTAACATGCTTTAAGAATATTTATATCAATGGTTAGTATAACATAGCTGTTGTAGGCGTGACTAAGATAAAAACTAAAACCTAATACATATTTTAAGTATAATTTCTTTATTTTATAAACACTATTAGTATAAAAAAAATTATACTTGAAAAGAATATTGATTTTTATGTTAAAATTACATTTTCTACCATCATTGTGATGAATTATATATATATTATTTCATTTTTACCTTTCTACTCAATATTTTACTTCGAACCAAATGTTACAGCCGGATAATCATAATATCCGGCCTACTAGCCGGATAGATACTGCCTGCCGGATATCCGTTGCATCTCTAGTGAGTACCTTACTAAGCTTTAATCATTTTAATGATTTTGTGATCAATTTATGTTATCAAAAATTGAGCAACTGTACAAAAAGGGATGAAAAATAATCATTTGTAGTAATTTTTAAGTAAGTCGCAATACTATATTAATTTGTGATTTGATATCTAAACAATAATACTAAATATATGAATTTAAATTGACTGTTAAGTTTAGGTTTATATTTACCTATTAATAATTGATGAAAAATTATAAAGCTTAAAATTACTATGATTTTCAAAGGGGTAAAAATTATATGCGAATGCAAGCCAGCATGTTTAAATATATTTTGTAACTTTTAAGCTTGTTATGCTGTGTCCCCAACAAAAAAAGAGAGTGCACTTTTTTTTCTACATTTAAATATAATATTTAACTTATTAAGTAACTCTATACAAATAGATAAAGTGTGCTTTTTTCATTATTTGATCCAGGTGTTCCCTTGTCTTATGGACTAGGTTCAAAACTACAAGGTTGCAGAGTTATATATTGTAAACAAAAGAATTGGCCGGCTGTTCAATGACTGTTATAATAAAATGTTCCCTAATTTCTAATTGTAAATTTTGCTCATAATTGTCACAATAGATTTACTATGAAAATGTGAATCAAAAAGCCGATAGCAAGATATTAAAGAAGAAAAATTTTAGTTACTTAACCTTTTTTATTTATTTTGCTATAGGTGATGAAGAGTCACCTATGGACCTGGAGATAGAAAAATTGCTAAAGCATCTAAAGATACTAGAATACCAAGAAATTATTACTGGACGTTCTCGTGCTGGATTTGCAAAACGAAATGTCCTCATTTCTAATTATTTTAACTAAAATTTGTTTTTTTTTTAAACTTGAATATATTAAATTATGTTTTATAGTTTGTCAAATTCTCTTCTTTAAAAATACTATGTCCAGGAAAAGACATAGCGACATAAAAAAATACTTACATTTTAATAATAATTCATGCATAAACAAAGAGGATCGCTATTATAAAATTCGTCCACTTTTAGAAAAACTCAATGTTGCGCTGCAACAATTTGGAGTATTTTCCGAAAATCTAACTATCGATGAAAGAATGGTAAGGTATTTCGGTAAACATGGGTGTAAAATGTTTATGAAGAATAAATCAGTAAAATTTGGATACAAGTTGTGGATGTTGACTTCATATGATGGATATCCTTTCAATGTTATTCCTTATCAAGGTGCTCAAGAAAAGTGTAAGGAACCTCTTTCTCAGCGTGTAGTTTAAAGTTTGGTCTGTATTGTGAAAATTCCTAAGTTTCATAAGGTATATATGGATAACTTTTTTACTTCACATGGATTGATGGCTCGTTTGCAACAACAAGGATTTTGTGCTACTGGAACTGTTAGAGACAATCGAATGGCAAAATGCCCTCTAACTTCTTTGAAATCTTTAGCTAAAACTGAAAGAGGAACAATCCGATGCCCTATTTGATAAAGCGAACAAAATAGCTGCTGTTCGGTGGAACGACAACCGTGTAGTTTCGTTGCTTAGTAATTTTGAAGAGACAAAAGTATACGGAAAAATACAGCGTCGTGTAAAGGGAGACAGGAAAGATGTCGATGTTCTATTTTGTATTACATCATACAATAAACATAAAAATGGAGTTGACCTATTTGACAGTCATATGAAAAATTACTTTGCATCTATTCAAGGACAAAAATGGTACTGGTCGCTTTTTGTGAATTGTTTTGAAACCGCCCTCATCGCAGCCTGGAAAATTTCCAAACTATTTTCACCTGACGATACTCAGGACTTGCTAACATTTCGCAGATCTATAACAGTAAGTTACCTTGGTGAAACAATCCCACGAAATAATGTTAGGCAAAGAGGTTCTCTGAAAAATAACAAAGAACTTCTTCTTCTAAATTCAGAACATGTGCTAGTTAAAAATCCGGATGGTCGTCAAAGACGGTTCCAATTAAAATCTTGTAAGAAAAAACCCATTACTATATGTAAAATGTGCGATGTTGGTCTAGGTCGAGACTGTTTTTTGGATTTTCATTCGTAAAAAAAACTTTTTTTGAGGTAAGTCAAGTTTTGTAATATTTGGTAGTGTATTGGACCGCTGTCCTATTTATAGGACAGTCTGTATATTTAAAAATATTAAATATTTTTTAAATTTTTTTATTTCATGTGCATTAATGAAGGTTTTAAAAATTTACCTTTTTTCCTATTGTTTTAATGAGCGGTCTGATATGGGTTAATTTCATGGCATTTTTCTATTTAATGTTTCATTTACTGTTTAAAGTTGTTATTCCAATTCATTAAAATAGTATTACAATATCTTTGTGTGTGAAAAAAATATTTTCTAAAACTAAAAATTCTGTTTTACAATTTTTTTTCCTGCAATTGCATCAATTATCTTAAGGCCAGTAGCCACATGACAGAATTGGAACGACATTGTCGCAGAACATTACGGAGTTAATACAGAAGGATTTTTCTTTTGAAAAGTAAAAAAATTTAATTTTCTGTTCAACACGGTTCTTAAATTGCACAATGTATTTCGAACAATATAGAAAATTCAAATCGTGCATTTGAGTATTTACTTTTTAGGGCAATAACTTTTGGGAGTTATTGCTATTAATGTCAAAGCGAAACACACATTTGAGACGTCTGGTACGCATGATTTAATCTCAATTAACTTTGAGAAATAAGAAAATAGTCTATTAACATTAATTAAGCCTGTCCTCAATAAGGCAATGCTCTAATTTAAATGAACTATTATTTCTTAAGTTCACACTGACAAAATTATGTGGAAAATTGCATTAGTTAACAATTATAAAACATAGGTTGAATAACATTGATACACAACACAATGTTAATGCAATTATTTATTTATTAAAATATTTAAGCATCTCGGGTCTTTAACTATAACACGGTTTAAATGTTCTTGAAATTATACTTGTGCAGACAGCAGTCTCATCTTTAGACTGTGCTCCTCTTTCCTTCTCATTATTTCCATCTCCAGTTTATTCTTTTCTTCAATGGAACAAGCAGCTTTTTGGAGCAGATTTTTTGGCCTGTTTGCGGAACATTGAGAAGCTCGGTTTGAAAGGACCTGGGGTTTCGAGCTAGGTCAGAGTTAACGGTGAATTCGGGGGTTAGAGGAAGTAGATAAAGAAAATTACGCAGATAGTGATTCCGATTGCTTTGATGAGGAGGATGACGTAACAATGAAAACAATTTTTGGAGAAGAAGTTAATGTTATCAAAAATGATAAAATACAACAAACTTTCACATGGCGTGAAATTCAAAACTTGGACCATTCGAAAAAGATAAATTTTACCGGACAATCGGGTGTTGCTCCCTCAATTATGCACTTATAGAATGACGTTGATTTTTTTGATTGATTTATTTCTAAAGAGCTACTTCAACTAATTTCAACAGAGTTTAACCGTTATTATGATAACCAATTAAACTTACATCCAGAGAAGGATAAAAGGTCGTATTCATCTGAGTGGTATGAAACGAATGGAGACTAGTTGAAAATATTTTTTGCCTTGATTTTGCTCATGGGCCATATTGAAAGAGACTGATGAAAGGATTATTGGTTTATCGACGAGCTAATTGCCACACCAATATTTTGGGAAATCAATGCCTAGGGACAGATCTCTACAAATATTATGCGTTCTTTGATTCGCTGATAATTCATCGAAACCAGGAAATGATGACAGACTCTGAAAATTGCGTGATGCGATTGACCTAATCAAATATTACTCTCCAACGGAAGAATTGTCAATAAATGAACTTATTGTTAAATTTAAGGTATCCGACTACCTTGAAAAAGGGGTATTTGGTCAAAAAATCATGTTTTCATTTTATTGTCTAATAATAATGCCCAACTCTTCTAGNTTTTTTAAATATTTTTCTTTTAATAATATCAATACACATTTTAAATAGCAAAAATGTGCTTGAAAATATTTGTTTTTAAAAAATTTTGTGTCGAAAGTAGTCGGATACCTTAAAGGGAAAGTAATATTCAAGCAATATATGCCTAAAAAACGAAAGCAATGTGGGACAAAAAATGTACAAAATTGCTGATAAAGAAGGTTTTATATATGATATGCAAGTTTATTTGGAAAAAGACAAAAACAAACTCCATCCTTACATGCATCTTATAACGTTGTGAACAATTTAGCAAATTCTGTTAAGAGAAAAGGTCACAAACTTTATTTCTTCTCCAGATATGGTGAAAAACTTTAAAGTAAATTGTTGTGGGACTGTCAGGGCAAATAGGAAGAATTCGAATTTTCCTAAATTTCCTCAAACTAAAAAATCAAAATCTGGAGAAATTCAGATTCTTTATTGTAAGGAAGGCATGGTAGCAGTATGTTATCATGACAAGCGAGATGTTTATTTCTTGAGTAATATTCATGAACTGCACGGAGCATGATAGTACTAAAAAGCCAAAAATTGTCGCGAATTATACAGAGAATATGGGTTTTGTCGATTTGAGTGATCGAATGGCTAATTCATATTCTTTCGGCCGTAACTGTTAAATGGACAAAAAAAATATTTTTTCGCCAACTAGATTTAAGTGTTTTAAACTCATACATATTATTAAAAAAAGTTATCGACGGAAAAACCCATCAACAATATAGAATGAATGTCATTCGCTCACTCTTAGATAAAACCCAATGCTCCACACCTCGCAGAAATACTATTGTGCAATTATCTTTTTCACCCAGCAACAAAAGGTTAAAAATGGAGTAGATACATTTACCAAAAAATGAAAAGAAACGAAGACGTTGTACAGTATGCTATAAGAAAGGTATTCAAAGACGTTCAACAATTAATTGTCTAACGTGCAATGTTTCCCTTTGTATTGACCAAGTTTGCTGGATGGAACATCATATTAATAACAATTCATAAAAATTAATACATAATGAACTCATAAAAAAATAGTTTTTAAATTAATATGTATTCTTCGAAAATTCTTGCAACCTTATTTAAAATGAGTATTATCTGTTTTATTTATTATTTTTCATTTAATTTTAAGTGATATATATTCTCTTTATAATCTCACTATTATTTCTGTATTATTTGCAATTAATTATTCATTGATGTCTTATAAGGATTTTTAAAACTTTCCAAATTCAAAAAATAAGCTAAATTAAAAATATTAAATATTGCAATATTAAAATCTATCCATAAATAATATTTGTAAAATTTAATAAAGAATAAAGATACATATTATATTTTATTAAGTGGTTGTTTTATTACATATTATTATATTTTATTAAGTGGTTGTTTTATTAAGTTATATAAATAGAACTTGTATATACTATTTTATATTCTATGTACGTGTTGTCTCTGGGCAAGAATTTAAGAGTCTTAAAATAATTTTTATGATAAATAATGAAAATAATCAAAGAAAATAGAAATGCTTATGACAAAATTTATTATTATTATTTAATCAAAAATTAGTCTTTCCTTGCAGACTAGCTCGGATATCTAATATTAGATATTTTCTAATATTTAGATTTTCATTTCATCATTAAATCTGATAATGATTTTCTTATTTGTTTATTCATTATGGGGCCTCAAGGCTCTGTCAGTCTTGGTTTTTCCACTTACAACAGAAAAGCTCTTGCGTGTTTGTAGGCAATGTGTCCCCTGAAGAAGTGCTGTCTTACATACACACATAAATTCTATTTTATTATATTTTTCCTGCCTTAATGTTTGTTTGAATGCGTAAATTAAAAGGTAATGGCAAGTTCCATCGTCGCAGTGTTCGAAATAAAATATCTGGCGTCAGTGATATAGTTTTTAAATATCACCCATCATGTTTTGAAATGCTAGAAACTCCTCTAGCAGTACTTTTTCAAGTCCCAGAATGTCTGACAGTAAAATGTTTGTCGTAAACAAAGATGTGGTTGCAGTCTTTCTGAATCTAGCCAAAAGGCCATTTTGCTTTGGAAAAAATCTCTGCGACAATGGGACTGAAACCAATGGATAGAAAAACATTTGACAAATATGTTCTTCACCTAGCAGAAGAGAATAAGGCGTTCAAAAATGAAGTTCTCCAAAAGTACAGAATGAAAGTGAGAGAAGAATATAGAAAGTATAACAGTTCCTGTGAAGATGACGAAGGGATTTTGAATATTGGCGTGTCATATGACGGAACGTGGATGAAACGTGGCCATTGCTCTTTGTATGGAATTGGCTGTGTTATTGACATTTTCACTGGCATTGTCATGGACTTTACTACAGTGTCGAAATATTGCCACTTATGTGAAGTTACGGCAAAAGAACTTGGCACTTCCTCGCCTGAATTTCACATATGGCGCGAGGGTTATAGAAGTTCCAGCAAGTGTGAAAAGAACTATGATGGATCTTCAAATGCTATGAAAATGTTCGCTGCAAGCATTCGGGGCAGCGTTCCGTTGAACAGTGCCAAATGCGGTATACTGTACTTCTTTCAGATGGAGACTCAAAAACCTTTATTCATTTACAAAATTTAAAAGTTTATAAAGATGTGGAATTACAAAGAGAGGAGTGTGTTAATCACGTTGCGAAGAGGCTTGGCACAGACTTTCGTAACAAGGTAAAGGATTTCAAAGTGAAAGGGTATCGCATCGGTGGCAAAAAGAAGGGACATTTGACGAACGATATAATAACTAGGCTCCAAAATTACTACAGAAATGCCATTGTCAAAAATGCTCCAGATCTCACCGCAATGAAGACAGCAATATTTGCATCACTTTACCACTGTTCTTCAACAGATGCCCACCCTAAGCATTTCAAATGTCCTATAGGGGGGGATTCTTGGTGCTTTTACAATCGCGCCAAGGCACTTGGTAGAAAAGTAAGAAGTCACACGACTATGAAAGTTACCATAAGTGATGCTATTGTCGCAAAAGTGCTTCCTGTCTATCAGAGACTCGCTTGTGATGAACTTTTGAAACGTTGCACACCTGCAAAAACTCAAGATGCAAACGAAAGTCTGCATAGTGAAATTTGCTGTGTTCCAAAAATGTTTTAGTTTCAAAGAGGCGGTTGGAGATGGCAGCTACAACAGCAGTGAGCACTTTGTCTTACATTTTTAAGAAGATTTTTACTGTATTTACAAACATAATTTTTGAATTTCGCAAGGGAGAGTGGCGATATTGCTAGTGATTATGACCAAGTAAAACTGCTACTTTAAATTGACGGCGGAAAAGTTCCGTCAGCTGTTCGTGAAACACAACAGGACTGGCTCATCTTCTTGGCAAGATTTTGCCTTTGAACTTTTTCCAAGGTTGGATTAGTAGTTTTGAAATAACTACTTTTAATCAGTTAGTAGAATTAAGGGGACACAGGACCTTGAAACCATCAAATTTCCGAATTCCATCAATCAAATTTCGTTCAAATTGTGCAGAAAGCCAAGCTTTATCACGTGGTGCTGAAATTTTTTCGATTCGATCATTTNTGAAAAGAGAACTAGCCGCTTCAAGCTCCACTGCTCGAGCCGAATATAAAATTGCGATAAACAGTCAAATTTTATGTTTACTTCTACTATCAGTTCTCGCACAACAAAGTATTTTTCTTGGGAAATTAAAGTGTACACACTGTTTGCACTTTTCTCTCTTAAATTATTGCACTCTCCATTTGATCACAATAAACTTAAGAATACATCGCTCATGGGCTGCAATAGAGGCACAACTAAAAAAACACGTGTTCTGAACTAAGAACAGGTGTAAATATGAAAATACACATTCTTTTCAGCAGCAATACAAGCACAACTCATAATTCAACTTGGAGGTAATCTTCGTTTAAGGGGACAATAGACGTGCAATATGCGAAAAACACTTAAATTTCGGGGTTTTGTTTTGTGTGATATTAAAAAAATTCTCACTTCTCTGAATAATATGCAACAAACAGAATTCAAATTGGAGCTTTTGTTAACGAGTTATAAGAGTTTCAAATTTTAAAACAAACCACTTACTCAGAAAATGAAAACGAAACTAGTGCTCTACTACTTGCAAACTGAGCAGTGGAAACCGAATCTATAAACAACACTTTTTTTTTCTATGCACAATGATTTATATTTAATAAAGATTTTTTATTTGGAAATCTAGCTACTTTACTACTGCTGATTTCACTTCGATTTTATAGCGTTTTGTTTGCATGCAGATTGTTTTGAAATAACGTTTTTTTTGCTAATTGATGAAAAAAAAACATTTTTTTTATTACTAAATCTTTATTTCAAGTTTATTATTTTGTTGATTGTTATTTTTATAGTTATTTTTACTTTCTTGTTAAATTTTACTAATATTTTTACATAATGGAAACAATTAGTCCTCGCTGGAGGAAGCCTAAGAAACGGGCAACTAAGCGCAGTAAAGCTATTAGTTGTGCAATGAAAAAGCATTCTGCAATAAATTGAAACAGTCTAGTGGATACTTTCCAAACTTGTGTGTCAAGTAATGATGATAAAAATTCTTTGAACTGCTATTCTGTGAATGAAGTTCCCCCTGCAGTTGAAAAAACTAGTGAGACTGCTCAGAATGACTGTGTTTATAAGTCTTCATATAGCTACATAATGATGAGTATGTCTGCATTTCAACCCCTTCTTCGAAATGTACCTTGTGATGATTGTGAAAATTTTAATTTAAATGTTAAAAGCGGAATTACATTTGGTTATTCCTTGAACTTAGAACTCATCCTTCAACCATGCATGAAAAGTTGTGGCTCCAAGTGAGGTTCAAAAATGTAGTCGTAGGGTATGATGTCAATCATAAACTTGTGCAAGCATTTGTAGGCATTGGTCGAGGACATTCAGCTACGGAAACTTTTTCTATAAACTTTGTGTGAAGCGACGTGAAAACTTTAAGGCAACAATTTTTAATAAAGCCTCGGACGAGTTTCGAAAGGCATATAATGCAACGAACGAAAGTTTGACACAGAATAGTGTTCTAGATATAACTGTGGCATATGGCAGAAAAAGGGCCATAACTACCTGCATGGTATTAGGATTGTTATTGATTCTTTGACAAATCTATTTTAAATTATGAAGTACGATCAAAGTACTACCCCGAATGCACTATTGCTACCACAGATTTTGGCGAAACAACTGACGAATTTGCAATTTGGTATGATGGTCGCAAATCAGTGTGTCAAAAGAACTTTAGTGGTTTTTCTGGAAACATGGAGCTTTCCGCTCATTATTAGATAAAAATAATATGCGTTATACATCAGTTTTGTCTGACGGTGACTAAAAAACCTTCTTGAGTTTGAGTAATAAACAGGTATATGGAACTGACACACCTATTACCAAAGAAGAATGTCTCAACCACGTAACAAAACTGCCTTGAAGAATAAAGTTAAAGAATGGAGAGGAAAAACTTTGACACTTGGAGGAGCAAGCGTGGAAGTTTGAAGGATGACACAACAAATTACAAAATTTTAATCGCAAAGCCATGAAAGATAATGTTTACGATATACAAATGATGAAAAGTTCAATATTTTCTACTTTATATCATTGTATGTCTACTGGTGAGAACCCTCAACATATGAAATACCCCACTGGACTCACTTCGTGCTGTTTTTATCAACGAGTTGTTGCGGGAGGTAAAAAGCCAATAAGTCATAAATTTATGGAAACCACTCTTTCAGCAGAAGTCGGGGGGAAAATAGTTCCAATCTATCAACGACTTGCTGCTAATGAGTTATTAAAGCGTTGTATTGCTGAAAAAACTCAAAATGCAAATGAAAGTCTCCACAGCTGTATTTGGAGTAAGTGCCAGAAAGAGGTTTTCTTTAAAAACAAATAACGATTGGAATATGCTCTTGCTGTAAGCGAATTTCATTTCGGCTGTGCAGAAACTTTGAAACTGAAGTCCTGCTTGATCTCCTCAAATGAAAAATGTGCCAAACAGCGAGATGTGAGATTTTCTAAAAAAAAAAAAAAAAAAAAAATCAGTACTGTAATNAAAAAAAAAAAAAAGAGAAAATCCTTCGAGGTGTACAAAATATGTCAACTCGGTTATAACTCGAACAAAATGAAACTTTAATAGCCCTTAAGTAAAAATGATCGGCTGAATTGTCAGAACGTAATCTAACTTTAAAGCTGGTCTGAACCTCTGAGTTAAATCGAGCTACATTGAATTTGAAGGTCCCAATGCTGTTGCCAAAGGGACGAGATCAGCTGTCGAACATGTAGTTTAATGTCTGCGAATGGTACAGATATTACTAATTCAGTAGTAGCAGATCGTGCTGCAGAATCAACCAACGATTCTGACTCAGAATGTGAAAATGAAGATGCTAATGACATTCGGGTAATGTAAGATAAAGGTTTGGAAAATAAAAAAAATAATGATATAAACGATAGCATAAATGAAATTGAAGAGATGGAACGACAATACAATTGGGAAATTCCTACAGCCAATGACAAAATTGTTCCTCTAAGTTTTACAGGAAAGGTAGGAATAAAACCGAAATTCCAACACTTGGAAAAAGAAACTGATTTTTTTAAGCCTTTTTTTTCAGACGATTTAATCAAACTCTAGTGCAGATACGCAAAATCAACTATATCTTTAAAGTTAGAAACGTCCGAGAAAAAAAAGCACAACATAGAGTGGATCCCAGTTTCACCCAAAGAAATTCTAAAATTTCTTGAAGTGATATTGTTAATGGGTCACATTGATAATGATAATGTTTCTGATTATTGGTCTAAAGATGATCTATTTGAAACTCCCATATTTGGGAAAACTATGCCTAGAGATCGATAACTTCAGATTTTGAAATTTGTTCATTTTTCAAATAATGAGGAAAAACTAAGCTCGAAAGATGAGAATTATGATAGATTGTGGAAAATTAGAAGTGCTTATAACAAATTAAATGAATCATTCAAGGAAGTGTATAATCCTACAGAGGAGCTGTCGATAGATGAGGTGATTATAAAGTTCAAAGGTAGGGTAATTTTTCGGCAATATATACCCAAGAAAAGAAAACAATGGGGTATTAAAGTTTACAAATTAGCCGATAGAAGAGGCTATACTAATGATATGCAAGTAAATCTTGGAAATCTATCTGCTTCTTACAATGCTGTTTATAATATGGCAAACACCATCCAGGGGAAAGGTCATAAATTATATATGGACAACTTCTTCAGCTTTCCGAAGTTATTTTGCGATCTTCTTGAGAATAATAAAATTAATTCCTGTGGAACTGTACGAATAAACAGAAAAGATTTTCCTAAAGAATTGGGGAGAAAAAAAATTAAAAGCAGGCGAAACCAATTGTTTAAGGGGAAATGGCCTCGTTGCTGTATATTGGAAGGATAAGAGAGACGTTTTTATGCTTTCCAAAATATATTCTCCAATCGAAAGCAAAGTTTCTAGTGAAAAACCAGAAATCGTCAGATCCTACAACAAACATATGGGTTATATTGACAAAAGCGATAGAATGGTAAACAGCTACTCATTCAATCGAAGGACACTGAAATGGACAAAAAAACTTCTTTTTCATTTTCTGGATCTCTCGGTTCTTAATGCTTATTTAGTATCAGAATTGAAAGAGTCCCACAAGGAACTCAGAAGAAATCTAATCCGTGGTCTACTTCACGAAAACTTGCTCAATTGTCTTACATTATCTCCGTCAACATCAAAAAAACCTCGGTTAATGCCTGAAAATAATCATTGGCCAATAAAAGAAAACAGTAGAGGAAGATGCGCAAACACTTCGAAAAAAGGAATAAATAGACGATCGACAGTAATATGTAAAGAATGTAATGTAGTTTTATGTATAGATCTTAATTGTTTCGAGGAATACCATACAGCATTTTAAATGAATTAATTGATATTATTTTTTATTACTAGTATTAGTGATATTTGATTCTTTTTATTTTAATGAAACGGGGTTCAAATATTCCTTCAAACGTTTAAAACTGTTTTCTTTCAAAATTGTCACAGGAGATGAGACACGGGTCCATTGCGAAACTGAAGAAACGAAAGAGCAATCCAAATAGTGGATGCATTCACACTGCCCAAGTCATAAACCAGTGAAGTTCAAGAGCACGTTCTTCAACAAAAAGTGTATGTTTTGGGACTGTAAAGGTGTTTTCTTGCTGGAATTCATGCCACGTGGAACAACCATCACTGCAGCTTCGTACAGCAATACTCTTTTAACGTACTCGAAGGGTAATTCAGAACAAGAGAAGAGGAATATTGTCGTCAGGCATCGTCATAATAATGCTCGGCCGCACACTGCAGTTGCAACAATTCTCCTGCAACGTTTCGGATGGGAAGCTTTTGATCACCCACCATACAATCCTGACCTTCGTGACTAGGAGGCCTGTTTACCGAAGAAAACCAGTAGCATTAGTCATCACGAGCTGGGAGTAGGTTTGGAGGGAGAAAGAGCGTCGAGTGCTCTGCTACGTGCATGTGAGCGATTCAAAGCTTGTCCTATTTTTATTTAGATTTATTTATTTAAAGAAGATTAGAAAAGGATCCTTTCTGGATTATAACTACAAGGAACAATTCTATCAAAGGTGAGTCGAAAAATTTCTATACTATGCACTTTAAATTTACTTTAAACATGAGCTGTTTACTATTTTAGTCTCTAAGCCTAACCGATTAATTCTATTGACAATATTCCTAGTTATTTGAATCTAGTTATTCTAAAATTATTCCTAAATTTTCTGGCCACAAATAAAAAAATAATTTATTTCACAAATTCTTGATTCCTTAAATAAACTTCATTCCATATCTATAGTTGACGATTTTTTCAGAAACAAAGTTATGTTACATAAAAAACTAAGTTAATAGTCTTGTTTAGACTATTAACTTAGATTGCTACGAGAGATCGCTTTATTTTTAAATTTTAAATGCATTCTGTGTTTCAGAGCCTCAATTTTAGTTTCCAGCTAAATTTTTATTTATATAAGTGAAAGCAGAACATTTTATTAGGAATGTTTTCGTTTAGTATTGTTATATAACGTTGTTCGTATCTAATATTTTAACATCGAATGTGAACTTTATTTTGATATTTTAAGCTTTTGGTTAAATTAATTCTTTGTTAATAATATTTTCTTTTAAATTTCTTGGCTTCTTTATATGATTAGGACTTACCCTCTTTAATTAATTTTTGCATGTTAAGAAACATGTCGTTTTAATTAATTTTATTATTAATTAATTACTCCCAGTTCCAAAACCCCAGGTTCCTTCAAACCGAGCTTCTCAATGTTCCGCAAACAGGCCAAAAAATCTGCCGCCCAAAAAACTGCTTGTTCCATTGAAGAAAAGAATAAACTGGAGATGGAAATAATGAGAAGGAAAGAGGAGCACAGTCTAAAGATGAGACTGCTGTCTGCCCAAGTATAATTTCAAGAACATTTGAACCGTGTTATAGCTGAAGACCCAAGATGCTTAAACATTTTAATAAATAAATAATTGCATTACTATTTTAGTGTGTTGTGTATCAATGTTATACAATGAGAAAAAATTAATATTGCTATCATAAACTGTAATCATGATTGTCATGTCAAGTTTTTAAATATATTTACCTTACAGATGCCGAACACCTGCTGTGTTACCAACTGCAATGGTAACTATAATTCACAAAATAAAGTACATATATTCAGTTTCCCTAAAAATGAAGAGTTACTTAAAAAATGGGTTAAAGCGATACCAAGAACTAACCTAACTGTGACTAAAAATACTAAGGTAAATTACTTTTATAATTTTTACTTAAATTAAAAATCTATTTATATTTTTTACTAGCTTTACTTATGCANTGTCCTATTTTTATTTAGATTTATTTATTTAAAGAATATTAGGAAAGGATCCTTTCTGGATTATAACTACAAGGAACAATTCTATCAAAGGTGAGTCGAAAAATTTCTATACTATGCACTTTAAATTTGCTTTAAACATGAGCTGTTTACTATTTTAGTCTCTAAGCCTAACATATGAATTCTATTGGCAATATTCCTAGTTATTCTAAAATTATTCCTAAATTTTTTGGCCGCAAATAAAAGAATAATTTATTTTACAAATTCCTTAAATAAACTTCATTCCATATCTATAGTTGACTATTTTTTCAGAAACGAAGTTATGTTACATAAACAACTAAGTTAATAGTCTAGTTTAGACTATTAACTTAGATTGCTAAGAAAGATCGCTTTATTTTTAAATTTTAAATGCATTCTGTGTTTCAGAGCCTCAATTTTAGTTTCCAGCTAAATTTTTATTTATATAAGTGAAAGCAGAACATTTTATTAGGAATGTTTTCGTTTAATATTGTTATATAACATTGTTCGTATCTAATATTTTACCACTGAATGTGAACTTTATTTTGATATTTTAAGCTTTTGGTTAAATTAATTCTTTGTTAATAATATTTCCTTTTAAATTTTTTGGCTTCTTTATATGATTAGGACTTACCCTCTTTAATTAATTTTTGCATGTTAAGCAAAAAATCCTTCAAAACATGTCGTTTTAATTAATTTTATTATTAATTAATTACTCCCAGTTCCAAAACCTCAGGTCCCTTCAAACCGAGCTTCTCAATGTTCCGCAAACAGGCCAAAAAATATGTCCCCTCTGCCGCCCAAAAAGCTGCTTGTTCCATTGAAGAAAAGAATGAACTGGAGATGGAAATAATGAGAAGGAAAGAGGAGAAGGACATTGAGGAGCACAGTCTAAAGATGAGGCTGCTGTCTGCGCAAGTATAATTTCAAGAACATTTAAACCGTGTTATAGCTGAAGACCCGAGATGCTTAAACATTTTAATAAATAAATAATTGCATTACTATTTCAGTGTGTTATGTATCAATGTTATACAATGAGAAAAAATTAATATTGCTATCATAAACTGTAATCATGATTGTCATGTCAAGTTTTTAAATATAGTTTCCTTACAGATGCCGAACACATGCTGTGTTACCAAATGCAATGGTAACTATAATTCACAAAATAAAGTACATATATTAAGTTTCCCTAAAAATGAAGAGTTACTTAAAAAAATGGGTTAAAGCGATACCAAGAACTGACCTAATTGTGACTAAAAATACTAAGGTAAATTACTTTTATAATTTTTACTTAAATTAAAAATCTATTTATATTTTTTACTAGCTTTACTTATGCAAATAATTAAATATATGTAGTCTGGCTTTAAAGTTAAATTATTTACTAACATTTGCCCATTAATTTTATATGCAGTGTTACAAATGTATGTTATATTAAATTTAATTATCGAGTAGTCAAAGAAAAATACTATAACCATTTTTTTTAATTTTGAAAAATGTACATAGTTACCTAGGCATATATTGATATCAATGAAAGTTTTTAAAAAACGCTCCACTTTGCACTTCCTTTTTTTTTTTTAATTAAGTGTGGTTGGGCAAATAGGTTAACAATCAGGCTATTCTTCGATGATTTATTTCTATATAATTGATGTTACATACGATTTTGTGAATATTGCATAGCTATTTCGAATTTAAAATTGAGGTAGGAATAATTTTGTTCCAAAAGAGAGAACAAAAAACGAAAGAAAACATTTTAAGCTGTCTAACAATAACTATCGGTGTACAGGTAAAGAATCTGAATATATTTTACCTATAATATAATCAGAAAATAAGAAATGAAATTTTTTTACCATAATACATTAATAATTTTTTTTTTAAAGAATATGAGAAAAATTTAAAGGAATCATGCAAAGATATAAATAAATTTAGTTAGTTTAAAATAATTTGTTTGTATATAAACTCAGTGATACAAATGATTTGATAGATAATTTTTTCCTTTAAGAATATTGTTCATCAAAAGAAAATAAAAAAATTGCATGCATATTTAAATAATCTAACAATTCATTATATCAAGATGTGTATAGTAGGAAAAATATTATTTTCATCATTTTAATAAGTTTTTAAGCATACTTTGTTTATTTATGAAAATAATTACACAATGTAATAGTATATTTTTTTCAATAAGTTATTAGAGATTAGATGAATATGAATTAGTGTTACCTGAAATATTCCTGTCTTATTGTGAATGTCTATATAAAAATCGTCAAAGAAATTTTCGAATAAAATATTCTATTTCAGGTCTGTGAAAGACACTTTCAATCAGATGATATTGAGTTTGAAACAACGTTCTACAAGGAATCTACGGAAGAAACCCTCAGAGCTAAATTGAAATATCCACGATAAAAAGATGGAGCAGAGCTCTCAATTTTTCCCAATTGTCCGAAATATTTATCATCGACTAACAAAGATCAGATTGATCCTATGTTAAAGAAGCAACTGTTAGAGCAACAGCAAGTAAACAAAGCTTAACAGTTTGAAAAGCCAATGTGAGTTAGAAAAGAAGTATGGATTTAAAGACTTTTTTGAAATGAAAAACTGTTTTGGAATCAATAATGTTCCTACAGCTTGGAGGATGGTAGAGAAAGATGAAAATTTATTTTTTTTAAAATTAAACTTAAAAGAAGGAGTGCCTATCATTGCATATACTGTATTCATCAATAGTTCACAAGAACTTAATATTTCATATAAAAACCAATGTTTAACAAAGTGCGGAGAAGCAAAGTTACCTTTAAAAGTAAGTAACTTTAATGAAGTTATTAATGTTTTATATCATTTAGAGTCTGAAATGTAATCAATAACTCCCTAGAAGAAATATAGATGTAATAATATCAGCCTTAAAAAATTGCCTAGATCTTGTTGACGATAAATTTAAATATTTTATTGAATTTTTTATTGTACAAATCAAACTCCTTAAAGTAACACCTGTTAGATACCGTTATTCTCCTGACATTTTAATATTTTCATCTCTTTTCTATTACTTATCTCCCCAGGCTTATAAATTTGTTAGACATTCTAGTAATTTAATTTTACCAGACCCTAGTACTATAAGGAAAGTTAGCTCGCTGTTAAAATCCACCCCAAATTTTGAACAACAAGACAAATATTTCCTTATGTATGCCAAACAAATATTTTCCAAATTGAAGGATGAAGATTTAAAAGTTTTTTTAATACTGGATGACATATATCTAAAGCCCTATGTGGATTAAAAAGGTGGAAAAATTGTAGGCAATTCATACGATAATACTGAGTTAGCCACAAGTGCACATGTTTTTATGATAAGTAGCATTTGCTCTTCATTTAGAGATGTTGTACATGTATTTCCAGTGAGCCATATTGTGGCTGCACATCTTTTTGAATTGATTAAAAAGATAGTTTTGGGTTTAGAAAACATTGGGTTCACTATTTTTGGTGTCGTCACTGACAATAATTCAATAAATCGTAAAGCCATGTCTAACTTTAGTAATCCGCCTGTATTTATAACTAAGTATTCGCATACAGCAGATGATTCAAGGTTATTATTTTTTGTAATTGACTCTGTGAATATCATCAAAGCGCTGAGAAATAATTGGTTTAACCAGAAAAATGGTTATTTTATGTATTATCCTTCATTTGAAAATGAGAAATTTCAGACTGAATCAGTGTTTTAAGAAAGATATATGATATTGAATCGACTGAATTGTTGAAGTTTGGTTTTGGTCCCTCCAGAAAAGCTCTTTGGCCGACAAACCTGGAACGGCAAAGTGTTTCTCTAGCACTAAAATTTTTTAATAGAAATCTCGTACAAGGAATTCTAGAGTTGGGTGAGAAGCATGAACTCATGCATTATAAAGAAACTGCTAACTACATTAATATATTTTGTGACTGATGGGATATAGCAAATGTTAAATCTGTTGCTAAGGGTAAATGTAAACGAAACGTCATGCGTGAACCAATCATTAATAAATCTGATGACATTAGAAAGGCATTTTTGAGTAAATTTATTAATTGGTTGGATAGGTGGGAGGCGATGAATGCTGATAATGGAAGACTAAGTAGAGAAACTCATTCGGCATTAAGGCACACGTCTCAAGCTTATCTAGATATAATGGAGTATTGCTCTAGTAATTATGGTTTGTCCTATTTGTTGCTAAGAAAAATTCAAACCGACAGGCATGAATCTCGGTTCGGTCTGTACCGAAGCATGTCTGGCGACCAGTATCATATATCCATTAGGCAGCTTTATGAAACCGAAAGTAAGCTTCGCATTAGTAAGGAACTGAAACTTATCTCGCATACTTCTGGCAATTTTAACATTAATATATTTCATCCTGACTCTGATCCAGTAGATGATATTAATAAAGACGTAGAGGAATTATTTGATGAGATTGAAGTTACAGATTCTGATTTAGATAAAGTAGACCATTCTCTACCTATAACATATTTGGCAGGGTATTGTGTCCATACAGTTCATAAAAGTCTAAAATGTCCGGAGTGTAAGAAAAGATTAGTAACAGATAAAGAAATGAATATTGACGTTAATTGTAATCTTATAAGAAATTGAGATAGAGGTGGGTTGCTTTATCCGTCAGAATTTGTAACAAATGTTGTTCAACACATTTATGTTGTAACCCAAAAGTTGATAAGTGAGGAATAAGAGCTTCAATTTTTAAAAGTTTTGAATCAACGCAATTTGGTAATGAAAATAGTTAAATATATCTTATGGTTAAAAGAAATATGGGATTTCTCAGTGTGCAGCTGTGGGTTTAATTTTGAAAAAATTTGTATTAAAATAATGAGGTCAGCAACAAATACTTTACTTAACAATTACTGTAAACTTAAAAATGATGTACATCAAGCAAAAAATCCAAAGCCAGTACCAAAAAGACAGACAAGGCCGAAGGAAAGAGAAAATTAAAAACTTTAACTAGTGATACTTCTCCTAATTCTTCTAAGAAAACTAAAATTAATGTTCAGACAAAGAAATAAATAAAAATTTAAATAAATTTCATTTTTTACTAAATTTAAAAGGTTTTAAAAACTAAATTGTATATTTAATGCATGCAATTTAAATTTATTAAAATGCATACAATTTAAATTTATGAAATCTGCTAAATTTTGCAAATTCTGCTAAATAAACATTTTTTCAAGCTTCGGCTATTTTTATTTTTTCTATGCAGTGTCATCAGATTTATTAGTGATTACTACATCAGTAGGATTTTATTTATTAGCCATTTATTATTATTTTTAAGAAAGAGTATTTTTCACCCAATTTTTTAGTTTTAGAAAATATTTTTTATAAGTTTTCTATTTCGGGTATTTCTTGAATGTGAACAAAAGTTTTTATGCACATGTATATTCCTTTATTAAAAAAAGAGATTTATGGTAATAAAAAAAAATTTCAAAATTTTTCATGTAGATAAAACTAAATCCTAAATATTCCATTTATTGCATTATTGTCAGTGACAACACTAAATAATAATCGTAAACCAAAACTTTGATTAAATCAACTGCTTGTTTTTTTTTTTTTTTTTTTGCTTGTTTGAAATGTTTTTCTAAAAGTATTACAAAAACATTTGTTTAAAGTATTTATTAAATGTGGGCTTTAATCTTTTTTATTTGTTTTGTGTGTTATGGTTGACCAATAAAATTGTTTTGTAAAAAAATGTTTTAGTTCCTTTTTTATTATGTTTAGATAAATTTATCAAATAATTGAACAATTTTGTTCCATACAATATGGTTCTATTTAATGGAGAGAAAAATATAAAAGGTTTAACTAAACCTAACAACTTTTTTCTTGATACTTATGAATTTGATTACAAAAGTTGAAAACAGTTCTGCTAGCTAAGGCGTGACTTCGTTTTTTAAGAGTAATATTTTGTTTCTAATAAAAGTTATGGTGTTAAAAGAATGCCAGAAAGAGGCCATATTCTTAATAAAACCAAGCAATAGAAAGATTAATTAATCAAAGCAATTTCTAGTTATTTCTATATTTATTATTCATAATAACTATTATGAAACACAAAATTAGGCTCTATTTTTGTCTCGAACATAATTTGTAAAATAAAGAATATTACAAAAATTTGGTTAACATTTGAAGAATCGCCTATACTATCATTTTTTTTTTACCACTGTATAATATAGTTGCTGAAATGATAACATGCAAAGAATCTCGTTTTGCGAAAAATCGCCCACTAGAGAAGTATTTCTTCTTTTTCACCGCTGAAGCTCTTTCCCTCCTCGTGATGACTCATTGAACGAGTAAGCTGGTCTCGAAGGTCACGTCCTGACTCGGTACCCTCAGATTTTCATCTCTTTGCCCAAATGAAACGTCGGCTAGGAGGACAAATTTCGCCACAGAGAACGAGCTGCAGACCAGCGTCCAGAATTGGTTGAAAACAAGGCTTGCTGCTTTTTATGATAAAGGTACTGGAAAATTGGTACCACGCTACGCCAAATGTATGAATTGGAACAGCGATTACTTCGAAAAGTAGCGTCATGTTGTATCACATTGTTCCATGTAAAATTTTCTTTATTCTGACGTTTTTTTTAAAATTTAGAGACCAAATCTCAGACGTTAAAAAAATAGCCCTCGTATTATTATTTTAGCTTAAAGATGTCTATTTTTCTACTCAGGAAATGACAGCAATTTCTTAGGAATTTAAAGATAAATTCTCGGCCTAAGATGTTTCAACAAAAATATTTATCACCTCTTTTCCCACAGCATGGGCTTGGATTAAACTGAAAGGAGAGATGGGCATAAATGTGTTATACTATTATACCGACTCCATCATATATGCTCAAGATGGGTCACATATGCTTTTACCTTATGGATTAAATAGTAAATTTAATGGGGAAGGTAATATTAATATTGATTGGTAATATTAATATTTATGATAAATTTAAAGTTTTTAATTTCCCTAGTGTTTTTAGTTCAAAGTATAGGAATAAAAGAAAAGAGGGAGTGGAAAGGGTGATAATATTGATTTTTCGAACATTTGTAATTTACATGATAACTTGAATAATATTTTTATTATTAGGATATATATTTTTGGTTTTAAAAATAAAGTTCTTAAAAATTTGGTTTTAAGATGAAATTTGATACTGAACTTATTAAATTTATTGTTTTGGATTTGATTAAATCAAAACTTGGGTGTTAGTAAAACTGAAATGCTGTTCAATAAAGTTTCTAATGTTAAGAAGGTTTTTTGTACGATTAATTTTCATGATAAACAATTTGAAATTGCTAAGTTGCCGCAAATTATTCATAGTCTTTCTGAAATTTTCCTTTCTGCTTATAAATATTCCTCTACACTTAGAAAAAAGGAATGTAACTATAATTTTTTAAGTCGGAATTTAAATTGTATTTCAAAGTTTGATTTTTATTGTAATGAA